TGTTTCTTGAGCAGGCACGGGCCGGGCTGGTGCAGGGGATTGCAGCCAACAGGGGACGTGACGCAAGGCCGATGCAGGGCGCGAGGTTGCTGCAGGCGCGCAGGGCAGAGGGGTTTTGAGGCGCAGGGGCGCAAAGAGGAAAGTGCAGGGCTGGTGCAGGGCCTGTGCAGGGACGCAGGCTGATGCAGGGTCGCGTGCTCGGTGCCGCAAGCAAGGTCAACGGCGCAGAGCAAAGGGGATCTGGGCGCGGGCTCGGTGCAGGCGCAGGGACAAGGCGCAGCAGAGGGTGCAGGGCAGGGGGCAGGGACGCAGGCTGGTGCAGGCGCGCAGGGCAGGAGATCTTTCCCCTTTTCTGTTTTTCTGCTCTGCAGCCCTCTTCCTTCTTCTTGGCATCTTGCCGGTTTTGGAAGAGAGAGAAGGCTAGGGTTGGTCTTTGAAGATTCCGTCCGTCCTCCCTTCTCTTTTTTTGGTTAATGGGTTTGGGTAGTGGGCTTGTTTTTTTGATAGTTTTTTGGGTTTGGGTTTGAGTTCAAGGGGTATTGGGATTTTGGGCTTGGGTTCGATGGGTTTTGGATTTGGGTTTGTAAATTCATTTTGATGAACTTCACCCCTCCAACTTTTAATTTCTTCAATTGAGTCCCTTCTTTCTTCTTCTAGAATTTTCCAAGTTCTTTTTGCATGTAGCACCTGAAACAAAATAAAAATATATTATTCAAAGGAAAGGGAAATTTTCATATTTTTATATTTTTGATTTTTTTTGTTTTTTGATAAAAATTTGAGTTCTGACAGTTAGTAACAAGATATTAATAGTAGGTTAACTCTCACTATGATAGCTTTAGCAGTTCAATCTTGTAAATTATCCTATTTTGAAAAATCAGGCCCAAAAAAAAAAAAAAATCAATATGGCAATCTATCTTCAATAAAGAAATGACAGAAACCACCTACTTCTGAACATTTTTTGAAAGAGATAGTTGTCCTCTGCTTAGCTTGTCAGAGCACTTCAACATGCATGGAAGCACTTGTAACCTGATAAAATCCAGAGATCTTTAGAACAATGGTATAAAAGTGAATTATAAACCAATTTCCAATGTTTCAACAAAAAAAATGCAAATAACCCAAAACAAGTTATTGGAATTATAGAACATAAGTGGAAGCAAAATTTTCTCACTTGCCTTTACTGATGAAGTAATTATTATCCCTTTGGGATGGACAGAAATTCCGAATTTTGTAACCCCAGAACCCAACATCCTAGTTGTTTGAATCTGAAAAACAATGCAATAGTTTTGGATTAAAAACACCACGAAACTAAGGTGGCATTGGAAAACAACATGAAATAAATAAAGAAAATCCAGATTCAATTATCTATTTTATTAGCTTTAAACGTTCCTGTACCTAAACTTAGCCATCTAGGAAAACCCTCTTGTGGTGAGTGGTGACTACTGTTTGTGAGGAGAAAGAAGTGCTGGAAAGGGATGGTGATATAATTGATAACTTGCAGCCTTTATATGACTTTTTTTTTTTTTCTTTTTCTTGTTGTGGTGAGGATGTTGCTTTCTGGTATTTTCCGGTAAGTTGGTAATTTACCTTCTGGGAATTGGTGGGTGATTCCCCTCCTAATTTGGAGGCATGTCTTTGGAACAGAATCCCTTTTGTTCTGTACAATACAGAAGAATCTATTCTTCCAAGAACGTGACTCAAGAAAGAGACAAAAAATCTAAAGGTTACCCCCCAAATAAAAAAATGTATGAAGGTGACTACAGCATATATGGTCACAGACTCACACGAAATTAAGGTCGCAAGGCGACATGTTAAGCATGGAACCAATGGGTAGATGAGCTGCAGAAGGAACGAGTCAACACCAAATCTAAGCAAAATATTTAAATAAGAGAAGTTCCATTCTATCACTTTCTTGTTTTTATTAGAGAAGATAATATCTCTCTTCACTCTAGAAGATTTTAACGTTGAGCCTCCCTTTTTTCTAAAACACTATCACGTGTTTGGAAAAGAGGTACAAAGGAAAGCTACGAATATCCTCTATTATTTAAATAAGAAAGATTACATCTTTAAATAAAATCATTTTCTTTCTTTTAATTTAAATATGAAATAAAATATACAATACATACTAAAAAATTCTTGGAAGAGTAAATCTAACAAGTTATTTTGTTTCGATATCCGTTACTCGGTATCAGTTAACTATTCCACCATACTAACATGACCTTCATTTCCTTCACAAGGCCCTTTAGTTGTTAAAGCATTGTCAGGTAATAGTTTTATGTTCCCTACATGCCCTACCAAACTCTTTATATCCATTTTAAAACAAAGTTCTATATTAGAAATACAATTATATTAATGTAGTAACTCTTAATTTAAACCAACAACCTAAATAACTTAATAATCATCTATTTCTGTTGAAAGTAAAAAATATTGAATTTAAATCGCATAACATATAAGTGAAGTGACACAAAAAATGAGAGATAATTGCTTAATTTAAAATAAATCACAATATAATAATAATAAATCAATTCAATAAAAAGGGAAGTTGTTGGATAGTAACAAATCAAGACTGTATACATGAATGTGGAACGTGATAATATGGGAAACCCTATTCAACCACATCCAAAAACCTCTTTTTACACTGATGAGGGGGAACGTTAAATTCTTTAATCTCTTTTAATCTCTGTTGATCTCTTATAAATATACCATAATTCCTCCAACATTTCAACAACTCGATCCATATCCCTATCACCACCATGAACAATAATTTCAGCCTAATCTTCTCCCTCTTCCTCCTCTTGCCCCTCGTAGCCTTCTGCGCACAAAAACAGGTCTTTTTCTCTTCTCCCATGAACCAATTTATTCACATGTTTCTGCTCCCTTAAACTGAATTTTCATGTTTCATACTGACAGGTGTACATAGTGTACTTTGGAGAGCACAGGGGAGAGAAAGCATTGCATGAGATAGAAGAAACACATCACTCTTACTTGCTCTCCGTGAAAGAGACAGAGGAGGATGCCAGAGCATCCCTTATTTACAGCTACAAGCACAGAATCAATGGCTTCTCCGCAGTTCTCACGCCGGATGAAGCCTCCAAGCTATCAGGCAATCACCAAACGAATTCCCCAAATGAAAATCTTTGTCATTCATTCATATTTATCTTTCCCCTGTTTTTCCTGACAGATTCCTTTTTCTCTTTTTTCCCTTGATCCAAACAGAACTGGAAGAGGTGGTCTCGGTGGTCCCTAGTAAGGCGCACACAGTGCAAACTACAAGGTCGTGGGAATTTGTAGGCTTGAATGAAGCAAAAGAACCATCTCTCTTAAATCCAAGGACGGGAGATGAAATGTTGCTGAAATCAAAATATGGGAAAAATGTCATCATTGGGATGATAGATAATGGTAGTAATTCCCAATTAATTTTACACTAAACACAAAGCAAATCCTCTGTTTCTCCAATGACTTTTTTTTTTTTAATAACATGGATATCTAGACCTTTTTCCTACCATAGATACTTATAAATCACCTGATTGTTTTTGTTTGCAAATTGCCTTCCTAGTTTCCACCTGTGATCCATAGATTGAATATTCTGTATTTTGATGATCAGGTGTGTGGCCAGAATCAAGGAGCTTTAGTGACGAAGGGATGGGGCCAGTTCCAAAATCATGGAAAGGAATCTGCCAAGCTGGGGATGCTTTTAACTCGTCCCACTGCAATAAGTAAGTCACTTCCTCTTTTCTTCCTTTTCATTCCATGTGTATGATTGGTTTTAGTCTAAAATTGTATTGTGGGTATCATGTCGTACCAAAGCTTTTTTGTATATTGAGTAATAGTTTGATGTCATTAGTCTAAATTTTATTTTATGTATTTGCTGAATTGATGCCATAACTAAGAGGCCATTTTCACTGCTGCACCATGTCCTACCAATTATGTCCTCTTTGCATTTTCTTAGTGAGATTGTTTCACTTCCCAACACGGTGAGATTGTACATTTCAAACAAAACAAATTACTAATCTGACTTCCTCAGTATTGCTTTTGGCATTCTTTGTGTTGGGAAAAATGACGCAACGGAATAAATTAATTCCTATTAACAAACATGTGAACAATAATAAATAAATGGTGAAACAAGCAGCTTAGTCGACCAATATTAATGATTAGTGAAAAAGGCGGTGGAACCAACCAAGGAAAATAAATTGGGCGGTTTAACCAGCCACTTAGGAAAAAAATAAAATGGGTGGTTTAACCAATCACTTAAGAGTAAAAATAAATAATAAGATGACACCAAATTTTACGTGGAAAAACCCCCCCAAAACTATTGAGGGAAAAAACCACAAGACAAACTCCAAAAAATATTCCACTATGTGATAAAATTGTACAAAGTATACACTCAAGTATTTTCTCTCTTGGTGTTTCCCATTCCCTCAAGATATGATCATAATCTTGATAAACTAACAATGTTATCACTCAATGTACTCTCTCTATGGAGCACACTCACACCTAAACTTAATGCTTAGCTCTCACCCCCTTTTTTTTTTCTTTCACCCAAGCTCTCACTTTGCTCACTGGGTGCTGCACTCTTGCTTCTTGCTTGCTTGCCCCTTTGCATGCATGGGTATTTATAAGGAAAAAACCCAACCACCCATCCACGATTTTCTTCTCTCATTAAATGAGTAAGCTTGCAATAGTTGAATTTACCATGTAAACTTTCAACAAGAGCTGTTATAAGTGCAGTCTTTTACCATAGGGTGAAAATTTTACCACATGGAAAAGTCCATGTGTTCACATTGGCTGGAAATTTCTGCCAACACTTTGTATTTCCTATCTTGTGAACTATTAAGTCACTTAATAAAATCTAACATTTATAGTGGATTTGCAAGCGTATTGAGAAGAAAAAATCACATCAAGTATATAACAAAGATGTATATAGAGTAAATATAAGGAAAACTTTGATTTGACTGGTAATTGATTTTAAATTAAATGTAAATTTTTGGTTAAAACACACATCCATAATTTTCACATCAATCCCTAAAATTTTGCTCCGTAGCTTCTCCATGCATAAATATCTCCTTTCGTCCTTCATATGCCTAACTAATTACCCATGATTTTTTTTATACTAATTTTTTGATATCTAGTAATCATATTGGGTCCTGACTAATTCATAATTGAGTCGCGTCAAACCCCATTCAGGGGAAAACTCTTCCAACACTTACTTTTTCATTCATAAGACTCGAATTCGATATTTTACTTTAAAAAAATTAAATTTTTTTCCACTTAAACCAACAAATCATTTATACTAATTTACCATGATAGAATAAAATAGAGTGTCCAAGACTCTTTGTGATTTAATTGTTAAAAATAATTTATAGGTGAAACTGATAATTTATTATAATTGAGAATTGAATTTATAATTTAATTTACTTTTGTTTACAGGAAAATCATTGGAGCGCGGTACTACATCAAGGAATATGAGCAACAATACGGCCCGTTAAATCGCACAGCGGACTTCCTCTCTCCTCGCGATGTCGCTGGCCATGGAACTCACACGGCATCCACGGTGGCTGGTCGACGAGTTCCTACTGCTGCCCGTGGAGGGTATGCAAGTGGCGTGGCTTCCGGCGGGGCTCCAATGGCCCGCCTTGCCATATACAAAGCATGCTGGGTCAATCCCCCCAACGTTTCTGTAGGCAATAACCTATGCATGGAAGCTGACATGCTTGCCGCCATTGACGATGCTATAGCTGACGGAGTCCATGTGCTCAGCATTTCAATCGTAACCAGTACACCTACCAACTATACTGATGATGGGATTGCCATTGGTGCATTACATGCTGTCAAACACAACATTGTGGTGGTGTGTGCCGCTGGAAACAGCGGGCCCACGCCGGCAACTTTGTCAAATCCGGCTCCCTGGATAATCACCGTTGGCGCTAGCAGCGTTGACCGAGAACTCTCTAGCCCTCTTTTGTTAGGAAATGGCACCAAAATTATGGTAAGAACATATATTGGCAATGAGCATTCCTTAATTTAATATACATGTCATTTTATGAATCTACATATATACAATATTACAGTTGAATTTCTAAAAAAAAAAAAGAACCAATGATATGAAGACGCATCATGGTTTTAAACAATGAACTACATATCATCTTCGTTTTGCAATTTTGATCCAAAATCATCTCCTTAGTTGCTTTGATTTCAGGGACAGGGAATAACTTCATACAAGTTGAACAAGAAGATGTACCCTTTAGTGTATGGAGGAGATGTTGTTAACTCTAATGTGGCACAAAATGTCTCAACAATAGGGTAAATCTTTTTGAAGTCCTTCATTTTATCTTTAAATAGATCCTGTTTAAATTAATTATATCTAGTTTTCAAGACCATTATAATTGACTCTAGTCTCAAGTTTGACTAAGTCAATTCTACGTTGACTTAATCTAATGATTTTATCTCTACAATTCAATTTAATGAATAATTTAGTATAATACTGAATCTAGAACTTGACAAGATCATCAGTCTTAACTTAATTTTTAGTCCTCCTGATCATACCTATCTATTTTAGTCTCTTTAAAATAATAGTATTAATGTTGGAATCCGAAACACATCTGTTTTTAGTATTTCTATTATGAGCTTAGGTATTGAGTTTTAGTTAATTCAACTTTTTTTCTTTTTTCTTTTTTTTTTTTAGGCAATGTCTTCCAAACACGCTTTCCCCCAAAAAGGTTAGAGGAAAAATAGTGTTATGCATGCGAGGCCTTGGATCAAGGGTAGAAAAAGGTCTGGAGGTTAAAAGGGCTGGGGGTGTTGGTTTCATCTTGGCAAACAATAAGGTAGATGGTAATGTCATATTTTTGGATGATCACTTGTTGCCACAAACCAGTGTCATCTACGATGATACTCTCAGAATTCTTCGATACATCAACAGTACCAAGAGCCCGACCGCAACGATCATGCCAGGGAAGACCATTCTGCACAAGAAGCCAGCTCCAACCATGGCCCAATTCACAAGTCAGGGTCCCAACGTGATTGACCTTAACATTCTTAAGGTAATAAATTAATTTGTACATAATTTTCTAGAAGAGGTTCCTGTTTTACAATCCAGTAATATCTGCCCCCATCCAATGTTTCATGTGTACATTTCAATAAAATATTGCCCAATTTTGAACATCCTTGTCTTCTTTGCAGCCTGATGTTACGGCACCAGGAGTTGATATTTTGGCCGCATGGAGTGGGAGATCATCTCCAACGGGCTTGCCTGAGGATCACCGTGTGATTGAGTATCACTTCGACTCGGGAACTTCCATGGCTACGCCTCATGTGGCTGGTGCAGCTGCCCTTCTCAGAGCCATACACCCAAAATGGAGCAGCGCAGCCATAAGGTCTGCGCTGATAACCACAGCCGAGACAATAAACAACATGGGCCAGCCAATATCTGATATAAATGGTATCCCGGCGACGCCATTCCAGTTAGGCGCCGGTCACTTTCGGCCTACCAAGGCAGCGGATCCTGGCCTTGTCTATGACGCCTCCTACACTGATTACATCCTCTACCTCTGCAGTGCTGGGTACAAAAAACTAAACAACACCATATTCAAGTGCCCCAACCCGCCACCTTCAACATTGGATCTCAATTACCCATCCTTCGCAATTCCTAACTTGAATCGGACTGTTACTATCAAGAGGACGGTCACCAACGTCGGAAGCAAGAAAAGCATATACTTCTTTAGTAGCAGACCGCCGGTGGGGGTGTCAGTTAAGGCCAACCCAAGCATTTTGCACTTCAGTCATGTTAACCAGAAGAAGAGCTTCACCATTACAGTGAGTCCAATACACGATCCAGCCGTGAAGAAAAATGAGTATGGGTTCGGTTGGTATACTTGGACTGATGGGTACTACGTTGTAAGAAGTCCCATGGCAATTTGTTTGGTGTAGATTAACGTTTTTATCCTTTGCTTTTCATTGGCATAAGTCTTTTAATTTATTTTTTTCAATTACAATTTATTTTCCTTTCTACCACCATAAAATTGAATTATTAAATGCAAAAGCAATGGGCTTTTTCCGTAAACTTTTTTTTTTTTTCGCCAGTGACTAAAAGAGTAAATTTTATGAAGTCCCATTTCAGTTTATTGAATCTTCGTCCTCTGATAGGTATCTTCTCATCCTCACACGTTCATCCTGAAAGTGTACAAACTTCCATTTAGACATGTACCTTCTGAGAACCAGCTTCTGCTTCTCTTCCTGGCGAAGTTTCTTAAAGGCAGAGGCTATTCTCCGAACGGTATCTTCATCTGGTCTCACACCCAACTCCTCCATGTCTGCAAATACCTATTTCCATGATAGAAAATTGAGCAGCTTAGCACTGTAGCAATGCTTTTTGCTTAAACTTGTTTCATGGAAATTTTTTCGAAGAAAATGCAAAGTAGGTAAAGGATAATTATGCATGTGGGATGGTGGTTTCTTTACCTCAATCATCTTCTCTGGCATGTTATGATGATCATATAATGATATCATCCTTGAAAACAACCGTTTTGAGATGGAGCGTGTATGTGTATGCAAAATCATGTTCCATAATGATTCAGCCTCATCTACCCTCTTGTCCACGTCAAATGCCAGTAAAAGTGTGTCATAGGTTCCCATTGTAGTGCCTTGTCCTTTGCCCAACATCCACTTTGCCAGCTGACAACCACTAAGTCTCATGTAATTCAGCGACACCACATAAACCATAGATTCTATTTAAGGAAACAAATCCAGGTACATTATCTTCCAGCAAAAGACACTTCTGTCTAACGAAACCAAGCTCACCTTGAGACTGAGTTGCATAACAATTTCTCTGTCTACCACTTCATTCAGATCATTTTAATTAAGTAATTTTCTACGAACCAACTTTTAAGTCCTAACATGAACACCCAAAAAAATGGGCAAAGAAGCTTGTGCCATCACCAAGTGATGGATGCAGGTTATTATGTCAATGTGACTAATTGTCAAGAACAGAATTGTAGGGGAATTGGCATTCTCCACCTACAATTCAATCACCAGTACTAACCCTCTCTGACCCACCTCCCAGCCTCATTTCTCAGATGAATAAATAAAGTCCTTTCTTGTCTCGGCTATACCTCACTCATGGGTGTATTACTAATGCAAATATAAGAACAAAACAAAAAAAGTTTAGCAAGTTTGGCTGAACAATTTCAAGATGCTGAACTTATTGTCTCTTACCACAATTATATTAAGGAAAAAAATAACAGAAATTTTCATATTAGCAACCATCAAAGCATCACAAATAAAACATAAGCCACATGCTATAACATGAAACCACTTTAGAACCTCAACAAGAAGAAGAAAACTGACATACTTGAATCACACGAAGCCATTGGCTCCTCTTCCTTAAGATTTGTAAAGCTTTAGCAGTAGCAGCCAATGGAAATTCTGTCTCCCAAGCTACCCATTTATCCAATGCTTTATAAACAGCCTCTTTCTCATTAGGAAGGTCAGAAACCTACTAGTGTAACATTTAAAACCAAACAACCCTTAAAGACATTTGCAAACAGATAATAGCACCCAGTTCATCTTCAAATACTACAGAATACAATTAAGGACAATAATCTGAGCTTTTCCAAACTAAAAAATGAAAACAACAGGTGGCAGAAAAAACTTACAATTCGAACAAGACTGAGTGCCTTTTTCCCAGATCCAGATGAATTACTTTTCTTCCACAAGTGGTGCTCTCTCTTTCCCACCTTCTTTATCTGTTTACTGCAGCAAAATTCCATTAATGAGATTATTATGATAAACTAATGCATGGAAAGCAGGGCAGAGGAGGGAGTGGCCAGGTAATTCCTTGTTATTTAGTTGAATAAGAGATGCTCTAAAATAATACACTTGCCCTAAGCACTCCTCCATCTCCACAAAAAATAAAATTTTTGGTGAAAATTTATAGTGTTAGTAACAAGATATTAACAGCAGGTTAACTCTTGCAATGTTAGCTTTAACAGTTCAATCTTGTAAAATTATCCTATTTTGAAAAATCAGGCCAAAAAAAAAAATATATCAATATGGCAATCTATCTTCAATAAAGAAATGACAGAAACCACCTACTTCTGAACATTTTTTGAAAGAGATAGTTGTTCTCTGCTTAGCTTGTCAGAGCACTTTACCATGGAAGCACTTGTAACCTGATAAAATGCCAGGGATCGTTAGAACTATGATATAAAAGTGACTTATAAACCTATTTCCAATGTTTCAACAAAAAAAAAAAAAAAAGAAAAGAAAAGGAAAATAACCCAAAACAAGTTAATGGAATTATAGAACATAAGTGGAAGCAAAAATTTCTCACTTGCCTTTACTGATAGAGTACTTATTATCCCTTTGGGATTGACAGAAATTCCAAATTTTGTAACCCCAGAAGCCAGCATCATAGTTGTTTGAATCTGAAAAACAATGCAATAGTTTTGGATTAAAA